CTCCAGGTGCTGAGTCTGGTAGCGTCCCTTCGTCTGGTCAGGTGTTTGCTGCAGCGTCCAGGTCTGGTCCTGAGTCTGCCCCCTGTTCGTGTCGCCGTCTTTCTCACGAGACCCTCCTCTGGCACCACCGCCTTGGCCACCCCTCTCTGCTTCGGCTCAGAGGCATGGCCTCTTGTCTTCTTTTGTCTGGTCTCCCCCGGTCCCTCCCTCCCCTTCCTCAGGGCCCTGGCCCTGCCTGTGTCCCCTGTGTCGAGGGGCGCCAGCGTGCTGCCCCTCACTCCTCCCAGTTTCCTCCGACAGAGGCTCCGTTGCAGACGCTTCACATGGACGTGTGGGGCCCTGCCCGCGTCCGTGGACTCGGACACGAGCGCTACTTCCTGTTGGTGGTTGACGACTACTCGCGTTACACCACAGTCTTCCCCTTGCGCAGCAAGGGTGATGTCACTGAGGTGCTGATCGACTGGATCCGCGCAGCTCGTCTCCAGCTCAGGCAGAGCTTTGGCTCGGACTTTCCGGTGTTGCGTCTGCACTCGGACAGAGGCGGAGAGTTCTCCTCTGGCCTTCTGCGTGCCTACTGTCGTGCGCGAGGCATCCGCCAGACCTTCACGCTTCCGGACTCACCGCAGCAAAATGGGATTGCTGAGCGCCGCATTGGCATGGTCATGGACGTCGCTCGTACGTCTATGATGCATGCGGCTGCCCCCCATTTTCTGTGGCCGTTTGCGGTCAGGTACGCGGCGCATCAGATCAACCTCCACCCCAGGGTCTCCAGGCCGGAGACCTCCCCAGCCCTGCTGTGGACGGGGAAGGTTGGCGATGCGTCGGCGTTCCGGGTCTGGGGATCTCGGGCGTTTGTCCGCGACTTGTCTGCGGACAAGCTGTCCCCTCGCGCTGCTCCCTGCGTCTTCGTGGGGTTCCCCCCCGACGCCCCTGGGTGGCAGTTCTACCACCCCACCTCTCGACGTGTTCTGTCCTCCCAGGACGTCACGTTCGACGAGTCGGTACCCTACTACCGCCTCTTCCCCTACCGCACTCCGTCCCTCCCCCCGCCCCCACTCTTCTTGGTACCAGGTCCCCCCCTGGTAGACCCCCTTCCCCCTCAGGGTCCTGCCCCTTCAGGTGTGTCCCAAGTAGACGCGGTCGAGCCTGTCGAGGTCACTGGTGACTCTGGTGCTACTGCGGGAGCTGAGCCTGGGGGTGCTGAGACTGGAGGTGCTACACTTGGGGGTGCTGAGCCTGGGGGTGCGGAGTCTGGGGGTGCGGAGCCTGGGGGTGCGGAGTCTGGGGGTGCTGAGCCTGGGGGTGCTGAGCCTGGGGGTGCTGAGCCTGGGGGTACTGAGTCTGGGGGTGCTGAGCCTGGGGGTGCTGGGCCTGGGGGTGCTGAGACTGGGGATGCTGAGACTGGGGGTGCTTCGCCTGGAGGTACTTCGTCTCGCCGAGAGCCACTCTCCCCACAGGAGCTGCGTGAGTGGTTTGCCCGACGCTGGAGGCGTGCTGCTGGTGCTGGAGGTTCTTCGGGTGCAGAGGGTGCTGCTGCCGAGCGTCCCGGAGGTGCTCGTACTGTGGGTGCTGGAGCTGCTGGGTCTGAGGGTTCTCCTGGAGCTGGTGCTGCTGAGGGTGTTGGCGCTGAGAGTACCGCTGGCGGTTCGACTGGCAGTGCTCCTCGTGGTGCTGCTGGAGGTTCTGGAGCTGCTGGAGGTGCTGCTGGAGCGGGTACTCCTACTGGGGGTACTGGTGCTGTCCCTGCTGTTTCTGGCGTGGCCACGCGGCCCCGACCGTACTTCGTTCCGCTCCTGCAGCAGGTTCTTGGTCTTACACCTTCTCCTGGTCCTCCTCCTCCTCCCTTAGAGGGTCCACAGTCTGTCCAGTCACAGTCCCAGCTACAGCCTGCCTACCCTTTGCCTGCTCCTTCTCCCTACGCTGGTCCGACTGGAGGTCTTACTGAGCGTCGTGAGCCTGCGTCTCGTCCTGCGTCGCCTGTTCGTCCTGCGCGCACTAGTGGTCGCGGTTCTCGTCAGCGTCCTCCTCCTGTCCCTGGCACGCACCGGATGTCTCTGCGTCCGTCCACTGCTCCTCTGCGTGCCCCTTTGTCTTCTCCTCCTGCTTCCTCTCTTCCTGCTCTTGCTGACCCGGAGTCGGACTCTCTTCGTGGTGCTAGTCCCACTGTTACGCGTTTCCTTGCTACTGCCGTCACTGACCCTTCCTTCGAGTCTTCTGCTGCGTCTGCCCTTGTCACTGAGCTTGTAGACTTTGCTGCGCGCTGTCGTCTAGACTACGCTGCTAGTCTTGACGCTGAGTCTGCGTCTGCCTGTCCTCCGTCCGTCGGGGGTGAGTGTGCCCTAGGCACGGACGTCCTTGAGGACAGGCAGGAGGAGTTCCAGTGTCTGGCCGCCGCTTCACCTCATCTCGCGTCTGTACTGCTTGCCCCTGAGGGAGACCCGGATGCACTAGACATCCCGACTTCGCGCTCTTACGCGGAGGCGATAGAGGGTCCCTACTCCTCTCAGTGGCAGGCAACTATGGATGCAGAGATGGCTTCCTGGAAGTCCACAGGCACCTACGTTGACGCTGTTCCCCCTCCTGGGGCGAACATCGTCAGTGGCATGTGGATTTTCAGGGTGAAGCGGCCGCCGGGTTCTCCGCCTGTCTTCAAGGCGCGCTACGTGGCTCGTGGCTTCAGTCAGCGGCAGGGAGTTGAATACTTTCACACCTTCTCCCCCACCCCGAAGATGACCACTCTTCGGGTACTGCTGCACGTTGCTGCTCACCGTGACTACGAGCTGCACTCTCTTGACTTCAGCACTGCTTTCTTGCAGGGCAGTCTGCACGAGGAGATCTGGCTGCGTCGCCCACCTGGCTTCACTGCGTCGTTCCCTCCTGGTACCCAGTGGAGTCTCCGGCGTCCAGTCTACGGTCTCCGCCAGGCGCCACGTGAGTGGCACGACACACTGAGGACTACGCTGGCGGCACTTGGGTTTGCTCCTTCTACTGCCGACCCGTCGCTGTTTCTTCGCACCGACACCTCTTTGCCGCCGTTCTACATCCTCGTGTACGTCGACGACTTGGTCTTTGCCACAGCTGACACTGCTGGACTCGCCTACGTGAAGTCCGAGCTGCAGAAGAGACACACGTGCACTGACCTTGGTGAACTGCGCAGCTACCTTGGCTTGCAGATCACCCGGGACAGAGCACGCCGCACCATTACCCTGACTCAGTCACACATGGTGCAGCAGGTCCTTCAGCGCTTCGGCTTCACGTACTCCTCGCCTCAGGCCACTCCTCTGCCTACTCGCCACTCACTCTCAGCTCTGCCTTCGGATGAGTCCGTAGAGTCGAGTGGTCCGTATGCAGAGCTTGTTGGCTGCCTCATGTACCTGATGACCTGCACACGACCTGACCTTGCATACCCTCTTAGCATTCTCGCACGCTATGTTGCTCCTGGGAGACACCGACCAGAGCACATGGCTGCAGCGAAGAGGGTGTTGCGCTACTTGTGCACTACGTCGGGCATGGGGCTAGTGCTTGGAGGGCGGAGTCCAGTGGTCCTCACTGGGCACGCGGACGCTTCTTGGGCTGACGACCAGGCTACGCAGCGGTCGTCACAGGGTTACACCTTCAGCCTTGGTTCCGGCTCTGTTTCGTGGCGGGCTACCCGCTCGTCTTCTGTTCTCGGCTCCAGTTGTGAGGCTGAGATCTACGCCGGGGCTATGGCTGCACAGGAGTTACGCTGGCTCACCTACCTGCTGTCCGACCTTGGAGAGCCGCCTCGTTCTCCTCCAATCCTGTACGTGGACAACAAGGCCATGCTGGCCTTGTGTCGAGAGCAGCGACTGGAGCACAGGACAAAGCACATTGCTCTCCGCTACTTTCTTGCTCGTGAGCTACAGCAGCGTGGACAGTTGCGACTTGCGTACGTGGCCTCTGAGGCCAACACTGCTGATGTCTTCACCAAGGCACTTGCGCCTTGTGATCATCAGCGTTGTTGCACGCAGCTGGGTCTTGTGCCTGTGTTGCCTCACTTGCTCACTTCTTGACTTTGCTTGTACCTTGACCTATATATACTCTTGCTCTTACCCTTATGACTCTTGTATATCTTTTTATATATGATCTTGCATGTGAACTGGCCTTGTGGCCCTTGAACTTGTGCTCGGAATGTGTGGTGACATTGTGATCCACCCTGAGCTTTGCTTTGCTTTGCTTGACTGGTCTTGTGACCCCTTGTTCTCCCCCACTTTGCCTATGGGGGTGTGTCAGAACATTATAGCTTACTTATTTGTGTAGGCTATAGTGGGGTATCCCATAGGGGGTACAACACAATTAGGGTTTCCTATTTGTACCCTCTTTGTTCATAGTCATTTCATTCTCGTTCTTTCTTTCACATGCTCATGGCCCTTACCTTTGTCTACCGTACAAACATTCTCTGCAACGCAGAACTCCCAGGTGCCACACCCACGAGAAAGATTAGAGGCGACTTGGGTCAGCTAGAAAAAATGACAATGCCGCCATGGACTACTCCGCGAGCTTCCGAGAGCCTACTACGTGAAGGTTACTTATCAGTTGGTAACATTGAGTTCAGTTTTGACATCTTGAGAACACTAAGATGCAGAGGATTTATTTTTCATGTCCACTACGCGGACATCATATCTTCGGCTTCTCGGGAGTACCTCATTGTTACAAGCATAACAAATGGGAACCTAGTTTCAAGGTCTCTTGATTTCTCCAGTTTCCACAATGGCGTACATCGGCTTTCTAGTCTCTGCACTATATGTCACCGGAGTCTATATCAACATTATCAGCATCATTTGTGGTCTCGCCATGATCCCAAGGCGATGACCTCGGGAACGCATCATTTTAGTCAAGAATGCAAGTCTCAAGCGCAAGACACAGGATATAAGGAGGTGGTGCTCAGATCGTTTCAAATACAAGCTTCTCAAGCTCTCTGTCTTCAGCGACATCAGTCAGCCACTTCCAGGCTTTTTCTTTTGAATCATCATCGCACCATGCCTCCTAAGAGTCGCTCGACAAAGGCTCCGGTGGATGTCACGCTCCCTGATGACCTTTCGACTGATCCGATCGTCACGCCGATACCTGCTGGTGTGTCTTCAGGGGAGCAGGATACAGCAGATGCGGTTAACAAGCCGGACGACAACGCTAGCGGCCATGGCCCGGTCTCGATCACGACAGCTACGGCTGTTGCCGAAAGTTCTGGTTTATCCGTGGAGGAGAAGTGTCAGACTCACCAGGCTTCTTCGCCAGCTGCTGTCGACTTCCTGGAGGACGACTCGGATGAAGAGCTTGAGATTGACATTGCTAAGGAGGATGCTTTCCGTCTCCGCTTTACGGCGATCTTACTCATTCCGATGGTGCTTTCACAGGAGATTAAGGCCATCATTGCTGCTGTTCGTCTTCTTATGACGAAGGTCTGGAGCTCGTCGCTTACCGAAAATGCTGGCGTGACGGCTAACATTCAGGACATGGCCCCTGGCTGGGTGGCGAAGACGCGTTTCTGTCGGCTTCAAATCTCTTTCCTGGATGAGCGGGATGCACACCACATCAAGTTTCATGTCTTCGAGTACCAGAAGGCGAATGCTCCTGCGATCAAGTGTATCTGGCAGCACACAGAGGATGCTTCTTACCTGAGAGAAAAGGCTTCTAACCCGCTTGCTGTTGAAGTTCTGTTTCGTCGTGTTCCGGCTAACATCGTACCTGATGTGCTTAAGGATTTGCTCGTCCGCTTTAAGTTGAAGATGCGCAAGCAGACTGCTTTCAAGGATGGTTTCGCCTTTCACTGTGTGGCTCACCCTCTCACTGGAGCTGACACGGACGTGATCAAAGGCTTGGTGGTTCCGCATCTTGGCGACCGTTACCGCTGGCGTCACGTCGTTGACAATCCGATGGAGGTTGGCGCGAAGCTGTTGGTTCACTACCCTGCACTGTCCTGCCTGCTCTGCGGTGGACATCATTATGATCTGCATCATGATCTGTTCATCACAGAACGGCAGAACAATATAGGGAAGTGGAACCTTACCCTGGGAAAGGCTCATTGCATCAATGGTAACAGCATCGCTTGTTCCAGTGTCATTACTATTTTCTTACCTTTCACCTCCCTTACTGACGACCACTGTTGCGCTCGCAGCTGCTTCTCTGCGCACCTCCGCACTAATTACCCCAATCTTGAAAGATCCTGCGCTCGCTCTTGTCTCAGCCGGCAGCAACCGCGAAGAATGGCTTTGCACGCAAGTGTGCTGCGAGAAGGCGAGGGGAAAGACCCTCATGGCCGCTGTAGAGCATATCACTTCCGCCACTCACCTGCTGAACCTGGAGAAGCTGGGCTCCGCCACGAAAGCCTCGATGGACAAAGCGAACCTGGCCAGCCTGAAGAAGGAGTTCGGCTTCTGAGACTGCAGTACGAGAACCGTGTGCTGTTAGCGATTATCGGATGGAGTGCAGTTGTTAGCGTTGTCACCATCACTAGCCTGTGGATGGGCAAAGGCTGCCAGTCAGTGATTAAATGAGTAACAAAAATTTCCTCTCCGTAGCAGGCCTGAATGTCAACGGCCTGGGTGACAGAACAGAACAAGCCAGAGTAACATCATGGACAAGCACGGCAGCCGACATACTTATTCTCTCAGACACACGCCTCCCTGATGATCACCCTTACTGGAAAACATCCTGCTTTACCTCAGTTCTTACCACTTCACCTGTAGACAAAGTCGGCGGAGTCGCAGTTCTTACTAGGGATCCATCCATCATAATCCAAAACATAAACACTCACCCCTCAGGTAGACTAATAGTAGCCACCGCCAGCCGCTCCGGTTTTGCTTTAACCCTTGTAGCAGCCTATTTCCCAGCCGACGCAACGGAACGAAGCCCCTTCATAGCCAACGTAGTTGGTCCCGCCTTTGACCAGACCCCAACATCCTCGCACGTCATCTTGATAGGAGACCTGTGTCAGATTACTATAGCTGATGCATGTTTGTAGGCTATAGTGGGGTAGCACATATGGGGTACAGCTTTCTAGGGTTGTATTTGTACCCAACCCTGACTTAGTCATTTCATTCCTGTTTGCTTAACCCTTGTAGCAGCCTATTTCCCAGCCGACGCAACGGAACGAAGCCCCTTCATAGCCAACGTAGTTGGTCCCGCCTTTGACCAGACCCCAACATCCTCGCACGTCATCTTGATAGGAGACCTGAACATTGTAGAGGACCCAGTGTTAGATAGGACGTCACTTGCAGGCTCCTCTCTAGAAAATGACAGACTCATCGCTCGCTGCAGCAGATTTCAACCCTCAGATGCTTTCCGCACGCTACACCCTAAGCGCCGCGAGTATACCTTTTACGCAGCCTCTAAGCAATCCAGCTCCCTGTCAGAACATTATAGCTTGTGCTTTTGTGTAGGCTGTAGTGGGGTAGCCCATATGGGGTACAACCCAATTAGGGTTAGTACTTGTACCCAACTGTTTCATAGTTCATTCATTCTCGTTCTCATCTTCTCATGGTATCGAGCAGGTTCCCCCGTGGGAACTGTGCTTAGGGCCCACCACATCGACCTTTTTTTTTTTTCCTGCCAGAAGCGCGCTCCGCCCGAGTCGCACTTCGTCGAGCCGCCCTAGCGGCCCTTCCCCTAGCGGCCCCGCTGCACGTCGCCTCGGCCCCGCCGCCCGTCGCTTCGGTCCCGCCGCTCGTCGTCGCGGCCCCGCCGCCCTACCTCGCGGCCCCGCCGCCCTACCTCGCGGCCCCGCCGCCCTACCTCGCGGCCCCGCCGCCCTACCTCGCGGCCCCGCCGCCCTACCTCGCGGCCCCGCCGCCCTACCTCGCGGCCCCGCCGCCCTACCTCGCGGCCCCGCCGCCCTACCTCGCGGCCCCGCCGCCCTACCTCGCGGCCCCGCCGCCCTACCTCGCGGCCCCGCCGCCCTACCTCGCGGCCCCGCCGCCCTACCTCGCGGCCCCGTCGCCCTACCTCTCGGCCCCACCGCCCTACCTCGCGGCCCCGCCGCCCTACCTCGCAGCCCCGCCGCCCTACCTCGCGGCCCCGCCGCCCTACCTCGCGGCCCCGCCGCCCTACCTCGCGGCCCCGCCGCCCTACCTCGCGGCCCCGCCGCCCTGCTCAGCGGCCTCGCCGCCCTTCTGCACCGGCCCCTGCCGCCCTACTCCTGCGGACCCGCCGCCCTACTCCTGCAGCCCCGCCGCCCTACTCCTGCGGCCCCGCCACCCTACTCCTGCGGCCCCGCCGCCCTTCTCCTGCGGCCCCGCCGCCCTACTCCTGCGGCCCCGCCGCCCTACTCCTGCGGCCCCGCCGCCCTACTCCTACGGACCCGCCGCCTTACTCCTGCGGCCCCGCCGCCCTACTCCTGCGGCCCCGCCGCCCTACTCCTGCGGCCCCGCCGCCCTACTCCTACGGCCCCGCTGCCCTACTCCTGTGGCCCCGCCGCCCTACTCAGCGGCCCCGCCACCGTTCACCAGCGGCCCTGCCGCCCTACACCGCCCGCGCCGCCCGAGCTGCCACAACAGCCCGAGCCGCCCGAGCCGCCCGAGTCGCCCGAGCCGCCCGAGCCGCCCGAGCCGCCCGAGCCGCCCGAGCCGCCCGAGCCGCCTGATCAGCCGAGTCGCCGGTGCCACGGAGCCGCAGTCGCTACTGAGCCGTCCGAGCAGCCGTGTTGCCGTGTTACTGCACTACTGAGCTGCCCGACTTGGCCTGTCTGGTGAGACCAGCGCTTCTGTCACTGCACTGCCCCTGTCCTACAGTTGGTCTCGCTAGTCTACTGCTCTCATGGCTTCCCCTAGTGTTCTCGCTTTTGACGCTGAGGGTCGAGCCATTGACTTTGAGGTTTGGGTAGATGACCTGCAGCTCTTCTTACAGTGCGATAGGGCAGACGGTCTCTCCCTCTTTGACCTCACCTCTGGCGCCTCTCCTGACCCTGCTGCTAATGCTGACCCCACTGTTCGCTCCCAGTGGGCCACGCGCGATGCTGCTGCACGTCTTGCTGTGCGTCGCTGTCACAATATATATATTTGTAACTGCCTGTAGCTGTAGTTAGTGTAGTTATTTAAACTTTGTGTGGTGGTGCACCTTATGTGTTTCCTTTGCTATATGTACTTCGAACCCTATAGTGAAGCACACATTCTCCCAACTTTTTCTCAATTCACTCGATACTCTCCCCTAGGAGCAACCCGCTCGACATTCAAGTAGGGCCTAGGCTACTAAGCCTAGGCCCTAGATTAATCTACACTTTAACTCTCGTTCTCAAGTTCGACATGTTATCGGAGCTAGGTTCGTCCTGGCCTGTGGGCCCACTTTACACTTCCGCTGCTAAGGTTTTCCGGTCGCGCGCCTAGGGCGCGTGACGATTTTATTTTTACATTGTCCCGCCCACGGGCGAGTGACTCCTTCCCTGCCCGTCGCGCGCCCCGTGGCACGCGACGGTGCCCTTCGTCTGCCCATCGTGCGCCCCGTGGCACACGATGGTGCCCTGCTCGTCGTGCGCCCCGAGGCACACGATCGGGCCCTTCTATTCCACCCGTCGTGCGCCCCGTGGCACTGGCCCGCGACGGGCCTTTCCGCCCCTGCACTCCCTGAAGCCGCCCCTGACACCACTGCACCGACACCTTTTCGCCGCTCTGCGGCTTTCTTCCTTCCCACCCCCCTCCTCCTTTGTCTCCCTGCAGCCGCGGGGAGGAGGGTATGGGGGTGGAGGGTGTTGGAGTGTGGCGTCACCTCTCTCCCTTCCCCTCCTCCTTCTTTCAGTCCCACCGCTGCAGCTGCCGCTGGGGGGAGAAGGTGTGAGGATGTGGGGGAGCAGGGGGAGTGGTACCGGGGTGGCGGGTGTGAGGCAACATGCAGCCGTCCCTCCACCTCTCCTCTCTTCCCCCCCTTCTCTGCTGCTCCTGCAGCAGTGTGGGGGAGGGGAAGGAGGAGGGTGAGGAGATGGAGGGGGTGACCACTTAGTGTCAGCCCGCCTGCATTACCTGCTGTTGCTTGCTATTTATTTTGCATGTGTACACCTGCAGGTTGTATTCTACACATACTCCTGCTGCAGGCAGTTATGGGGGAGTGTCACAATATATATATATTTGTAACTGCCTGTAGCTGTAGTTAGTGTAGTTATTTAAACTTTGTGTGGTGGTGCACCTTATGTGTTTCCTTTGCTATATGTACTTCGAACCCTATAGTGAAGCACACATTCTCCCAACTTTTTCTCAATTCACTCGATACTCTCCCCTAGGAGCAACCCGCTCGACATTCAAGTAGGGCCTAGGCTACTAAGCCTAGGCCCTAGATTAATCTACACTTTAACTCTCGTTCTCAAGTTCGACAGTCGCCACCTGCCTACCTCTGAGCGCGCGCACTTTAGTCAGTACAAGAGTGCTCACACCTTGTACGACGCTGTAGTTGCGCGCTACTCTTCCCCTGCCACTGCTGCACTGAGCCGCCTCATGCTACCGTACCTCTTTCCTGACCTTGCTGCCTTTCCCACAGTCGCTGACCTCGTTACGCACCTCCGCACTAGTGACACTCGCTACCGCGCCGCACTTCCTGCTGAGTTCTGCGCCAAACCCCCCCCCCCCCCCCCCCCATGTACATCACTCTCTATTATATAATCAATCGCCTCCCTGACTCCCTTCGCGTAGTCAGGGACCACTTCCTCTCAGTCTGTCCCACCACTCTCACTGTTGACCTCCTAGAGAAGGCCCTCCTAGCAGCGGAGAAGAGCTTAGTCGCTGTAGGAGCCTCTCGTGGTGACCCTCGCACCCCCATCTTTGAGGGTTGTTCCCCTTCCCCCCTGTTGCCCTCTGTCGCCTCTGCTGCTGTGGCCGACCTCGTTGGTCTTGAGCCGGTCGGTGCGGCGTCTGCCCCTAGCGGGAAACGCCGCTCTGGCAAGGGCAAGGGGGGCAAGGGCGCGGGTGGGGCTAGCGGGGGTGGTGGAGGTGGCGGTGGGGGCGGCGGGGGGAGTGGGGGTGGCGGTGGGAGTGGTGGCGAGGGTGGAGGTGGTGGTGGCAGCGGCGGAGGCGGAGGCGGTGGTGGCGGTAGCGGTGGGAGCGGAGGCGGCGGTGGCGGCGGAGGTGGAGGCGGCGGTGGTGGAGGAGGTGGAGCTGGTCGGGGTGGCACTTCTCAGCGGAGCGGCACCGGGAGTGGTCAGCGCCAGCAGCAGCAGCAGCAGCAGCGTTCTCGGGACATCCCCCCTCCTCAGCAGCTCCGTGAGTGGTACACGCAGCGTCAGCGTGGTGGGGGTTTTGGCCCGTGCACCTACGTCCTCCGCTCCGGCAACCGCGCGGGTGAGCAGTGTGGGGGTGCTCACCCCACCCAGCGCTGCTTTGGCCGCCTGACGGACACTTGGCGTCAGCAGTTCCCGGAGGCTAGTGAGATCCCCCGCTGGGGAGAGCTGTCTAGGGCAGGCG